TGATCGTCCCCTGTGCTGGGCCCTGGGGAGGCCCCACCTTGAGGGCTCTGTTCAGTTTTGGGGCCCTCACCACAAAACAGACATTGAGGTGCTGGAGCGGGTCCAGAGAAGGGCAACGGCGCTGGTGAGGGGTCTGGAGCACAAGTCTGGTGAGGAGCAGCTGAGGGAGCTGGGGGTGTTCAGCCTGGAGAAAAGGAGGCTGAGGGGAGACCTTCTGGCTCTCTCCAACTCCCTGAAAGGAGGGTGTAGCCGGGGGGGGTCAGTCTCTTCTCCCAAGGAACAGGCCATGGGACAAGAAATGCCTCAAGTTGCACCAGGGGAGGTTCAGATTGGATACTGGGAACAATTTTGTCACTGAAAGGGTTGTCAAGCCTTGGCAGAGGCTGCCCAGGGCAGTGGTGGAGTCCCCATCCCTGGAGGTATTTAAAAGCCGGGCAGACACGGTGCTGAGGGACATGGGTTAGTGGTGGTTTTTTATCAGACTTAGACTCATGGTTGGATTTGATGATCTGAAGGGTCCCTTCCAGCCTCAGAAATTCTGTGATTCTATGATTTAAATTAAAGCAAGTGATACCACATACATAACAGGGCTCCTCAGGTGTCTTTGGCACCTCTCATTTGAAATTTTCTTGGTTGGGCCTTGACTACTTTCTAGGGCTGCCAGAGCCAATCCTCCTTTCGGGTGGCTATTGATTGTCCTCCAGCTCCATTTATCTCTACTTTTCCCCATGTTTCTTCAGAATTCACATCTAGCAGGCTCTCTGGAGGCGAGAAGCCCTTGGGTAGCCAGGTGATGATGTCCTGCCTGCCATTTCTAAACGGTGCTGACAGTCTTCTTGGGACCAGAGCTGTGGGTACTTAATGTCTGCTTTGTTTCCAGCCACATGCTGATGACAACAACCTTCATCCCTTCGCTGCTTTCACCTTTGGGAGGATACTCTTAGCTAATAGAATCATAGAATCATCTAGGTTGGAAAAGACCCTTAGGATCATCATAATGCTGTGTATAGGTCCCTTTAAGGTCCCTTCCAACTCTAACCATTCTATGATTCTATAGCATTTGATTAAATTAAGTGGTTTAGCTTATTTTCACAAGTAAGGCAGCAGAAATGGTAGGAAACCCATTACAGATGATGACAAAGTTATTTTGCAACAGTAGCAAGTCCCCAGGGACTTCTGCTCTGCCTTCTGCTTTCAACTAGTGACCACCTTTCAGCATCCACTCATTAAAACATTTCACACTTGACATCTGGTTTTAACCCCAGATATTTTGATTGCAGCTTTTGAGGGTGTTCTTTATGCTGAAACAAAGAGAGCAAGCCTCAAATTTCGATAGCAACAACTTCCCTCTGGAAGTTGAATTTTTGCTTGCGTTTTTCTTTCCCTCTTGCATTCCCATAGAAAAAGAAGATCATCATGGTGATGTATTTTTTTCATTTTACAGAAAAAATCTGAAATCATTTTTTGCAAGATACAAGACGCTGCAGTGGACAAGTTCTTATGCTTTGCCAGACTTCCCTTACGACGTCAAGTGCCTGTTGGCAGAAAAAAAATGCCCTGATCACAGTATGAGAATAAGGATTATTGAATTTTTACAAGCAGACATGACAAAATACCTAGAAGGATCGCTGTGAGTACACACTGTTAGATTTATGTGGGGGCATTACCAATTGCCTGCAGAAGTTAATTTTCAACTGAATGTGAAGCCATTTATCGCTCTCTACAACTCCCCAAAAGGACGTGTAGAGAGAGTGGGATTTGGCCTCTTCTTGAGATAATGGCTTCAAGTTGCACCAGGGGAGGTTTAGGATGGGTATTAGGAAAAATTTGTACACGGAAAGGGTTATCAAGCCTTGGCAGAGGCTGCCCAGGGCAGTGGTGGAGTCCCCATCCCTGGAGGTATTTTAAAGCTGGACAGACGTGGTGCTGTGGGACATGGGTCAGTGGTGGGTTTTGTCAGTGTTGGGTTGGTAGTTGGACTCGATGATCTGGAAAGTCCCTTCCAACCCAAGCAATTCTATGATTCTAATGATCTGGAAAGTCCCTTCCAACCCAAGCAATTCTATGATTCTCTTTAAATGTTTGCTTAGAGGTGACTAAGGGCACGAAGCCAACAGGAGGACTTCATACAAACCTTTTAAATGTTTGCTTAAATAGAGGGATCTAAGGGTGTGAAGCCAACAGGAGGACTTCATACAAACCTTAAAGCTGTTCCTTTTGTTATTTGGAGGGGAGTTGACAGTCTGGGAAATAGTAATTGTAACATCTGTCAGTATAGACTCCAGGCAGTGTCTAATACCGTCTAGAATACCACATATTTCTTTTATATCTCCTTCTTGTGTGCATAGGTACCCAAACAGTCAGCAATATAACATTGTTGTCAACGCTCTGCTGCAGGCGTACCCCTTCCTCGATGAAGATGGGAACGGCTTTGTGAGTATTGTAGAGAGTCCTCCATCTGGGATACACGGGTGGGGGCTTTCTTCACAAGAAAAGAACCCAGTGCAGAGGAAATCAATATCAATTTCTTATACACTGGCTCTGTTCAGAGCTGTAAGCTGCACTTTGACATCTTTGGCAAATCACATTCTTATTTTGCTGTATTAATTAAAGGCTAATCCAGTTACAGCCACTCTTCCAAGCCACTGTGAGATCACGCAGACCTGTACACAAAGTCCCTGGTTCCTAGTTGGGTATGGTTTCTTTCTGGTTTGACTTCTCCCAAAGGATAAATTTAAGAAAATGTGGCTTAGTTTTGTTTTTAAAAACAAAGAAGCCAAGCCTTTAGAAAACTGCCTGTATGAGGACTAACATACCCCTGATGCTCTTGCAATGCACCGTGATTGCTTGTGTGTTAGGTATCTAGCTAGAGCATGGGTTAGGTATGTTGGGCATCTAGGCCTAATTAAAAAAAAAATTAGCTAAAAACCCTGGTTAGGATCTCAGTGGGGTCATAAGAGAAAACAGTGGAAGGAGATGACTTAAATTTGAACTATGTTTTTTCACTCTTGTGACCCAGAATACATATCTGGAGTCTCGGGGGACAGCATTCACCTCTTGACTTCACATCCCTGCTTTGCCATGTGATACGTTTATAGCATCCTGTAAAAGCTTGTGAGACTCAGTGGGGATTGTTAGCTTTAAATGTATATAAATATATACCTCATGTGCAGCCACCGCAGAAAGCAAAACAATTTTGAGAACTAAAAAAAGTGAGGATTAAGGAATGGCTATTCTGGTTCTCCTCTGAGCCCAGGCGCTGTAGGAGGGAAGGGACTAGGGAAAACAAACACATCTCGGAGAGGAGAGAGGGGGCAGAAGGATCAGAAAGCATCGGTCCACCCTTATTTTCCATCAGGATTCCTCTCTGAATGCCCCAGTGGGGGTCCCCGGCTGGGGTCCTGGGTAATGCCATGGCTTCATCTGGCTCCCTTTGTCCATGGGAGCCGAAATGACATTCTGGGTGGGTCCAAAGGCCTTTTTAAAGCCTTTAATTTTTTTTTAAACTGTTTTTACACAGCAGTTCTTAAACTAGGTTTTCAAAGGGCTTTCACTGCAGCAGGGCCATAGACTGCGTGAAACTGCTTCTAACCCCATTCTTTGGGAAATGGCTTATCCCTTCCCAGATGGGTCCCAGGATTGAGGGTGGCAGGAGTTACCTGATGGGGCAGAGGATTTGGAGTTGTTGCTTATCTTTTGATAGTTCTCTCCTGCTTACTACAAAGCGTATCTGGAAGAAATCACCATAAATAAGTGAGGAAGCTGGAATAAGCAGTGTTGCCACTCTAATGCTCCTGAGCCAGCTCCTCTCCATGGCTCAAGGCAGGAAAAAAGGCACTAAAGGTGTATATCTGTGTAAGTGAAGTTTGGATGAGGGGATGCAGGTGAATTACTATTTTTATTGGCCCTACTGCCAGACATTCTGTTCTTCCTTCATGATCATAAAGGCTATAAATACTTTTTTTCTTGCTCTGAGACAGTTGTGTTACAACAGCAACAGCTTAAAACAAATCCTACAACATACACACAGCTACTCAGCGTGAGGCTCGCAGTGAAAACTGAATTCACATAGCTTTAAGAAACAAATGAACAAAAAAAATTGGCTAACCACCATTCTTTTATCTTTTCTACAAGGATGTTATAAGGTAATGCAGGGAGAAAATTAGAAGGGGCAAAGCCCAACTAGAACTTAATCTGGTTTCTGCCATAAAAGACAAGAAAAAAAAATTTATATAAACACATTAACAACAAAAGGAGGGCTAAGAAGGATCTCCATCCTTTATTGGATGTGGAGGGAAACATGGTGATAAAGGCTGAGGAGAAGGACTAGGTACTTAATGCCTTCTTTGCCTCAGTCTTTAATAGTAAGACCAGTTGTTTCTGGGGTACCCAACCCCCTAACTGAAAGACAGGGATGGGGAGAAGAATGAAGAATGAAGCCCTCAGGTCCAGAGAAGGGCAACGGAGCTGGTGAGGGGTCTGGAGCACAAGTCTGGTGAGGAGCAGCTGAGGGAGCTGGGGGTGTTCAGCCTGGAGAAAAGGAGGCTGAGGGGAGACCTTCTGGCTCTTTCCAACTCCCTGAAAGGAGGGTGTAGCCGGGGAGGTTGGTCTCTTCTCCCAAGGAACAGGTGATGGGACAAGAGGAAATGGCCTCAAGTTGTGCTAGGGGAGGTTAAGAATGGATATTAGGAAAAATTAGGCTTGTAGGGCTGGAGAAAGGGACCTACTGAACGTGTCAATTCAACTGGGCAGGCCTTGAGAATAGTGGTTTCCAGGACTGATTAAAGTTATCCGCGTTTATTTAGAATACCCACAAGCACATTTTCAAGTATTCAGACTTTTAATTTCCTGTCAAAGTTACAGGAAAAAAGAAATAGTTGAGTGCATTTCAAAAAACCAAAAGGGCTGGAAAGACTTTGGAGCACTAGGCCTTGCGTTCCCTTGGGGGTGCTGGAGCTCAGTTCTGCCATTGGGGGTTCTCCTTTCCACCACGCAAAATGCTCTACCCCACTCTATTGTTAATGACATTAATTTATTGCTCTTTATTTATTTCTGTGCTACGTCTATGTTCCTAGATTCAGCTAAACTCTAAATTTCATGCTTAAAAGGAAAGCAGTTTCTTACCCTTTGGGGTGGAGGAGCAGCCAGCGCGTCTACTGGGCTGCAGTGGTTCTCAGTGGGATGCCCTGAGAAGGTCCATCAGTAGCATGATTTTATTTTTAACTCATCAGCCTTATGGGTTTGGAGCCCTTCACTACAAATGGATGTGTCTTGGCTGCTGGAAGGGCGCAGTGGACCCTGTTCTGGGTTCTTCCACGGCAGGTATGGACAGCTGTGGGTAGCACGGGTGGGCTTTCTGGCTGAGGAGAAGTTCATCCCATGAGAGATCTTGACATCCCAAGAATTAGCTTTTTCTTCAGAAAATTAGAACATAAAGAACCTGACATAGTGAAAATCTTGGAGAAACTTTGAATTGGATATGTCAGGACTTTTGTTGCAACATTTTCATGGAGATGAAATGGCCTGGAAAATTGGAAAGGGGAAGGATCTGCTGGAAACCATAGAGGAGCAACAACAAAAAACCAAATCTCAGAGTGCCCAAATTCACACCAGCATTTTCATGAAAAGAAAAAAATTACTTGCAAAACTTTGAACATTCCGATTTTTGTCGTTTGGGGTTTTTTTTCCCCAAAATACGGGACACTTTTTAAATCCAAACTATTTTAAACAAGCAATTTAATGTGTGCATTATGTAGACACTTAGTCCAGTATTTTCAGTCTCACACCGTTGCGGTGAGAGGCCATTAAAGGTTCAGTGTTTCAAGATTTATTAGTAGACTATCCATAATTCTATTTTCTTGGTTAAAAGGTTTTCCCATTTAATTTTGCAGGAGGGGAAAATATGCTTCTGTGCCCTCAGCCCTTTTGCAAAGGATATCCAATGTAATGCAGTCAGGGTGATGATAATAATCCTAAATGAGTAAACTTACAAATAATGTTATGAATAAGCTACTTATGTACTATGAATTTTAAAAGAAGGTTATTTATTAGGTCACTCTAGAAGCAGTAGTTAAGAAAGGATTCTCTGAAATTCTAAATAAGGAAAAAAAAAAACCCAAACATTTTATGCTAAAGGCAAAACTGATTTAAGAGGTCTATGGAGCACTCAGAGTGAAATTAATTTCCTCACCCCATTCCAAGATTAGCCTTTGGAAAAAAAGTTCTTAAATTGATTACCTATGGAATTTTTTCCACAATGTTTCCTTCTACTTAAAGAACAACGTTATCCTAAGCTAACACATTAAAAAAGAAAAAAAAAATCTCCATTTAATAATGAAATAGATTATTAGACTTCTGATGTATAATGTAACCATTACATTATATTTTATATAGAAAAAGCCAAGGTCATAGTCACAGGTGTGAAAAGAAAACTGGCATCACACAGTTTCTTGGCCACTTGCAGGAGACTCTTCTATTTGTGTTTATTCCTGTTACAAGGTTTACAACCAGGCGGTTGGGAAGAGTCGCTGCCCGGATTTCATTCCATTCCAGCCAAAGTGTTGAAAATTGTAGGGTCTCAAGAAAACCTTGGGTGAGGAAGGAAAAGAGAGGGCTCTCTCCCATCCTCGGGCTTGGGGTGCTGGTGAAACCCGGGATCCCGGTGCCGACGTGCCCCGTTTATGTAACCACCACACACAAAATACTGATTTGCTAGTAAATTCCTGCTTTTAATCCCGGTGTAATCCTTTCCCTCCTATGTCAGAAAGACACAGACTAATCCCTCTGCTCCCTTGCAAGCATTGTAAGCCTCCCTGGCCTTTTTTTTTTTTTGTAAGGGGAGGAGGGAATTAATAGAAAATAAAGTTATCAGCTCAAAAATAGTAATGAAAGCATCCTTTTTGGAGGATGCGTTACCCACTAGGGAAACCCCATAAATTTATGTGCTGACAGCCTCATTCATGAAACAGGTACGTGAGAAGGGACTTGGCCAAGCTCCTGAGAATCCTATTACAGAAACAGATTTAGTTAAAACTCTAAATTTATCTGAGGACAGGAGGATGAAACAGCTGAGTGTTTTGAACTCTGAGGGATATTTAAAGCTCCGTAGAGGTGTCAGCATATTCTTTCATGTGGAAGAATACGCGAAAATGTCTTCTGGCCACACAAAGGCTTCCCAAAGAAAGCAACTGTGCAAAACTCGACTAAGGGAGTATTTAAATTGCCAGCTGCTAATATATTCTGGGAAGATCATGTTTTAATATATTTTTAACATCTGTTGAATGCTTTAGAGAAGCGTTAAGCTAAGGTTTTCGGTCGCTTGTGTCTTAATAGCCTTGAAGTAACAATGTTCCAAATAAATTTTGCCAGGCATATAACGGTGGGGTATTTGCATCAAAATGTAAATGCACAGGCCCAGAACTGTATTTAGGAACCTTAATGGTTCAGGGGGATATCGAATGGGATTTTCAAGGCATGCAGTCACGTTATTGCTTTTTAAAACAGCTCTGGGGTGTAACACTCGAGCCTGTAAATTTGCCTCATGAGAAGCCTGGGTGAGCTGTTGTGCTGGATTTTCAATTGTTATGTTCAGGTTAGTGATGAAGTGACTCCTGTTCTGGCTCCTGAAGAGCTGAGGAAGATGCCACAGGGGCTGTGTTCTCATCCCTCTTCCTCTTGCTGTCTTTCACCATGAATGGAGCTCTTGCTTTTAGGATTGAGGACCTCTAAGTCCAGTAGAACCCTCGGGAGGTGGGAGCAGTACGTTCAGCAGGAGAAAGGCAAGGTCACACTGCCTTCACCACCACCTCTGAAGAGACACTCCCATCCATATCTCGTGGGTGAGAAAGGGAGGCATCACGCTTAATACATGAACCCTTTACACTGAAAGGGTTGTCAAGCCTTGGAATGGGCTTCCTGGAGGTATTTAAAAGCCAGGCAGATATGCTGCTGAGGGACATGATTTAATGGTGGCTTTTGTCAGTGTTGGGTTGATGGCTGGACTTGATGATCTGAAAGGTCCCTTCCAACCTTGACAGTATTATGATTCTATCCAACTTGCTGCAAAGATAGGCACTGTACTACTTAGCCTACTTTTACTCAATTCTGGTTTACACCAAAGTTAACCCTTAAAGTCGTATGATGTTGATTAATGAAGGACACCATTTTGGTAAGAAATTTGGAGTAATCGTTCTTCTGTTTATATTGTGGTTTAGTATGTCAATCAGTCCAGGCTTGAGTATAGCATCAAGTGAGTACAGTGTTGGAGTCAATTTTAGAAAATGGGGTACACACTATTTGAATGTCTCTTGCCATGTCCTGTCACTTACAGTCACTTCTCTAATTTCTGATATCTCTGACTGTTGAAAACCCCTCGATAATTGGAATAAGCAGTTGTTTTTGAGGATCTGAGAACACTTCAACATCCAGAGCGGCAGGTTTTGCCTGAAGAAAAGTTTTAGCAGCCTTGGCTTGGTGATTGCTTCCCCACGTCTTGGTAGTCACCACAGCTGGGTCCCACCATGGGATGCCCAGCCAGGGACTGCAAGTGAACAGCCATCTGTCCGTCCATAAGGATGTACCAGGAGGTGCCAGTACACCGATGCCACCCTACAAGTCTTTGCTTAGTGGCAAACAGTTTTTTATAAAATAGAGTTAGATAAAACGGGATGCCCAGCCAGGGACTGCAGGTGAACAGCTGTCTGTCTGTCCATAAGGATGTGCCAGTACACTGATGCCACCCTAGGAGTCTTTTTCTGCTTAGTGGCAGACAGTTTTTTATAAAATAGAGTTAGATAAAACAAAGTGACCTGCTTTAGGAATGGGACAAATGCTTGAGAGATCCTGGTAATGACAGATTATTGTTTTTTCCCCCCCACGTGCAGTTACTATGGAAACGGGCCCTTAAAGATCGTTTCAAATATGTGCGGAGACCCATTGAAGATGATGAGCAAGTCCTGAGGAACAAATGCAAGTTTGGCCACAGGCGAGGACAGACCAGGAAATCTTCCTTTGCTGAAAACAAGCCTGATGACATCCAGCTGCAAGCAGAGGTAAGAGGTCTGGTGCTCAACTGAGTCTCTCAGCTCCTCTGCTGATGGAAATGCCACCAGCCAGTAAAGAAGAGAACAGTGATCTCATCCTATTTACACTCATTTTGTATAGAGTTTGTCCTATAGCCAGACCCTTGACTTTTTTTCCCCATTCCTGGAGAACTGGAGTTTGTTTTTTTTTACCTGCAATATTGCCATTCTGCTTTAGGTTATACACCTCCAGTCAGAATAAAAACAGTAGAGGCTTATGTCTAAGAGCTGAAACTTCTGTAAAGTAAGAATTGTGTTTTTCTCTGAGGAAAGGCTGAGAGACTTGGAGCTGTTCATCCTGGAGAAGACTGAGGAGGGATCTCAGCAATGCTTATCAATATCTAAAGGGTGGGTGTCAGGAGGATGGGGCCAGTCTCTTCTCAGTGGTGCCCCGTGACAGGACAAGAGGGAATGGGCACAAACTTGAACATAAGAAGTTCCATCTCAACATGAGGAGGAACTTCTTTCCTGTGAGGGTGGCAGAGCCCTAGAAGAGGCTGCCCAGGGAGGTGGTGGAGTCTCCTTCTCTGGAGACATTCCAACCCACCTGGACACGTTCCTGTGGGACCCGTGCTGGGTGACCCTGCGCTGGCAGGGAGTTGGACTAGATGATCTCCAGAGGTCCCTTCCAACCCCATATAATTTTGTGATTCTGTAGGAGCTGCCTGCTCAACATAATTTATCTGGTGGAGAAGGCGTTAACTGTGCTCCTTTGTGTGTCTGCAAACTAGGAAGCACCACTCTTATTATCTGCACTGCCCAAGGCCATCACTGGTCATCCCTTGTTTGACATCCCTTGTTTGACTGGTCATCCCTTGCTCACTTGAGAAATTGAAGATGAAGAAAGCAGGTTTCATCTCTTCTAAAGTCCTAGGCATTTTTGTTGTAAGCAAATAAGGGTTAAACTGGAAGGAGGTGAGAGGATGCTGAGTGTCTCTGAACAACTTTTCCTTTCTTTCACTTTTCCTGTATCCTGAACATACATAAATGCAAGAATTAACACTTGCGGAGCCTATTAAGGCTTAAGAATGAGTCCATATAATTGAGGGATTTGTAACTTCCTTGGTTTTAAATGTGTCTCGGCTCTGACATCCTAAATTATGTCACTACAAAGGTGCACAGCTGAACAAGATGTTTGTTTAGTATTCTTTTAAACGAATGCAGGGTGGGGTTCTTAACTCTGTATATTTAGGAATGCACATAAAGGCACCTTTATGCCAATCCTTGGCACTAGCTCCTTTGTGATAAATTTAAACTGCTAAACAAAGAGTCTTGGCCTCAAAAAGTAAATATTTGGTCTAGAAGCCAGTACCACACACAAAACCAAATGATATTCAAATTATTATTTGAAGTCTTGTGGTTGAGGGACTCTATTGGCAGGTACAGTATCAGGTACCATCTATGCTGTGGATGCTGTAAGGACATGAAGCAGGGGTGATGACAGCCCCTTCTCCTCTAAGATTAGAGGTCTCCAAAGCCAGTGCTGGGATGTCTGCACAGCCAGAACCTGAGCGTGCACATTCGGATGATCACTCAGCAGCTGTACTCCTGTAATGGCATTTTTTCCACTAAAACTTTGATCTGCACTGACAGTGTGCAGTGTTGCTTAGCTAATATTTTAAAATGCTTTTAGAGTCAAAGCAAAAGCTTTAAATGCAGATTCCTGGTGTACATCTTGTGCTTCACCTTATTTCTGTCATTCAGCATCTCTGTTGTTCTGTGAGACAACGTCAAGTTTGAAATGTGGGTTGTCCCATTGTAGGGACAAAGCTCCTGATCCTTTCTATGTGGCACTGCTGTTCCAGGAGATGGTTCTCATGACCATCGCATGGTTTCTACCCTTTCCAGCAAGCAGATTAGTCTCCATCCAAGGACTTTTCCCAAAGCATCCCAGGTGAGGGACCTGAATCCATGGCTGGCAGTGAACAGGATGCATTGCCATGTCCCCATATCCATCCCTTTAGCTCTACTGGTCCTATATGAATTCTCTTTCAGACTGAGGAGCCAGTAGGTCCTGTTGGTGTTCTTCAAAAAAGAGATCTTGATCTTTGTCATTAGCAACAGCGAGGCTACACTTCCCATTCAGGAGCTGGTGTCAACCCTTGTAAAGAGCCAGAGGTGCCTGCTGTCCTCACCAGAGGAGCTTTCATCACTCCATGATTAGGCAGTTGTGTTGCTTTGGTGTTGACATTAATGACTTCTAGGATTTATGAAGCTGGCTTCCAACAGTAACTGCATGCTCAGTCCTTGGTGACACACATCATGCGTAAGAATCGCTCCCTTCTTCCCCACAAAGATGCAGCAGCTTCACTTCCTTGGCTAACAGAAGTGCCCCACTAGCTGAGGCTTTTTGGCAAGAATATGGTGTTATAATCTCTAGCTGTATCTTGGGAAAAAATTAAGATCCACCAAAAGGACATGAAGGAATTTGGCCTTTATTTAAACGCCTGTCTCTGACCAAAGGACTAACTGGAAAAAAATTAAGATCCACCAAAACGACATGAAGGAATTTGGCCTTTAACGCCTGTCTCTGACCAAAGGACTAACTGTCCTACACCAGGGATTTGGAGTCCAGTTGTTTTATGTATAGATGTTTTCTTGCTTTTATGTGAGAGTCTTAATACAATCTGCTTGTAGAGGGCTCCAAGTAGAACTGTGAACGTTAACTGGAGGTGACTGTCCAAAGTCATCTGGGGCATGAGCAGAGAGCCCCATGACCTGTGTGGCTCCTAGATCTACTGGCTTTAGTCACAGATATCTGAGATACCAAGATGTTACGGGTGGTCGTGGGCTTGGGCACTGGGGGATGGGTCCCTTCTGCTGTCATCCTTCGTGTGTGAATCCAACCAAAGGGCTAAGAGCCTTGGCAGGACCATCCCCTCGGGTACACTGACCTACAAGTGCTGGATCTCCTCTGTTTGCCTCCTTAACTTCCTCTCAGCATCCTTTTGACCATTTTCTCCCTTCTGCAGTATTCCTCGTGAGCTCGTGGCAAAAACGCAGCTTGTTTTTCAAAGGCATTGAAGGTTAATTCTTGTTCCCTCCAGCAAGGCTATTTTTTAAAAAAAATCAAACTTATTATTTAAAAATAAATTTCTCATAAATTAAGTATGTATATTGCCAAATAAGGCAAAGTTCTACATTAAAAAAAAAAATAAAGGCATTGAAGGTTAATTCTCGTTTCCTCCAGCAAGGCTATTTTTTAAAAAATAAAACTTATTATTTAAAAATTAAGTATGTACATTGCCACATAAGGCAAAGTTCTACATTAAAAAAAAAAATAATCAAAAAGCACCAATTAACCTTCTCCTTATCACTGCAAGAGAAATGAGTGTTACTGGTGACACAACTGAAAATGTGGCCAGAGAAGTTTGGGTGACATCAAGAATGAAGGAGTCCTCATTTAAAAAGGCTATTTTTTTGGTTCTCTCCTGCACGTGTGCTGACCTGTTCCCTTTGGCTTCCTTCTTTTCTTCAGAGAAAGGAGATCCTGGCCTCGGTCTGGATAGTATTGCCTTTCTGCAGTGTATTGGAATAACTGAGATTTAACCTTATTGTCACAATTTTACTGGAATATTGCTGTGCCATCACCAGCTTTTTCTCTTTGATGGTTAAAAGGGGGAGGATCCATAGTCCTCCCTAAATTAGGATGCAACGGGGTGAGAGACAGGTTGATGAACCAGCTTTCCAAACCCAGATTCTTCCCATTCACACCAGCAACGTTAAGGTTAACTATAAAAGATTTTAAATCCCACTTAAATTCATTCTCTAATAATTTTTAAAACACATTGCAAAATGATACCCCATGGAGGTAACTTCTTTCCTCCAGCAGAAAGCCACCTCTCAGTTACCTTTCTATTTACCTTAAAAATCAACCTGTTCACGAACTAAAAGCTAAAAGGAGATAAAAAGAACATTCTAAGTGGATCCTGCATTTAGTGTGACTGAGTTAATGCTCAGTCATTGCACTTTGCTAGAAAAAAAAAGGCAAGTTTGCAACATAGGAAGGGCTGAAGATAATGGAAATTGAGTTATAAAGCAAGTTACACACAGAATATGTTCTGCTACAAGCATGCCATTTTTAAATTTTTTATTAAAAGCAAAAAACTTCTTTTGATGTTAGAATCTAATAAAACCTGGGGTCAGAAATAACTTGTGCTTCATAAATTCAGGTGTTGCCAAACTTTCTTGCTCTATCGAAAACCTTCAGCTTTTCTAAGCATATTTTAATTCAAATAAATAACAAACAGCACACATCAGAATGCTCTTACCCTTTAGCTTTTCAGCGAGGGTGGCTGAAAACAGCTGTCCATCCACAAACACCTAAATTCACTGTTCTCCATTTCCACACTGGTTCTGCTAAAGACAATCACTGCCCTTCCACTTAATGTACCAGTGGGGTCCCCTTCCTCTCCTTGGTTCTGGAATGATAGATGTGCACCCCTTGCGTTAAATCAGTTGGAATTAGAAATATGCAATTATGTAGTAAATCTCTCTCCCCAATTACCAGATAATCTATATTTGCATAGCTCTATTTCCTACAGTATATTGTTTGTATTCCCCAGCAGGAATGAAACTGCCCAGAGGTAAAAGGAAAGGAAGTGATTAGATATAAAAAGGCACAGATTTGCCACTGTGCATAGATAAAGGAGTCCCCCAAATCACAGCAGCCTTGGTTGCTAATGCCAACACTGAAACTCAGCGTTCACTTGCTCTTTCACTGCAAACAGCCCAGTTTTATACCTTGCCCAGGTGTTTTACTTCATCCTTCCCACCACCCATCCTCAGGATACGTTATTTGTGATGTTTCCACTGCACTTCAACAAGTGAGAAGTAATCTCTGAAACAGCAGAAAGGCCAGTAGAAAACTGGCATTGACTGGTCTCCAAACGGTGCTACCACAGACTTGGTACATTTCTGGAGCTCTATTACTTCCAGTTTTAAAATGTCTTTTATGGCTGGGAATGTACATCCATTAGAGCAATTCTTCCTTGTCCAACTGCCCTATTTCCATTGGTCACCTGCATTAGATGCCTACACAAATGTCTAATGGTCTCATTTAGCTAATAAATAATGTCATTAGCTAAACTAGCTCTCAAGGACAGAGCTGACTACGTGGAAAGTCCATCAGCTGGAGCACTGTTTGCCTTGATGAGGGGGATGGAGATAAGCTGGAGTTAAAGGTCACGATTTGTTCTCCTGGGTGTTTGTTTCTAAGCAACCCCATGAGTTCGTTGGTGGTCACAGCACACCAGGTTGAGGTTGTTTTGCTTTTCTGCCTCTACAAGTAAGGCCCCAATGGTGGCAGCCCCTCTGGAAAGGGGTTGCTGTGCTCCACATCAGGTGGCTGAAGAAGCTCCTGCTCTATGGGTAGGAGACTTGGAAGCAGACCCACAGGAGGAGCCAATAGTAACAGTTTGGAGTCAAGAGACAGGGAACTGCTGGAGAGGATACAGCAGAGGGCTATGAAGATGATGAGGGGTCTAGAACTTCTGTCTGATGAGGAAAGGATGACGGACTTGGGTCTTTTTAGTCTGGAGAAGAAAAGACTGAGGGGGGATCTGATCAACACCCATAAATACTTAAAAGGTGGGTGTTCCTGGATGGGGCCAGTCTTTTTTCAGCGGTGCCCAGGGACAGGACAAGAGGGAACGGGCACAAACTGGAACATAAGAAGTTCCATCTAAAGATGAGGAGGAAAGTCTTTCCTGTGAGGGTTGCAGAGCCCTGGCAGCTGCTGCCCAGAGAGGTGGTGGAATCTCCATCTCTGGAGACATTCCAAACCCACCTGGACACGTTCCTGTGGGACCTGCTCTGGGTGGATCTCCTCTGGCAGGGGGTTGGACTGGATGATCTCCAGAGGTCCCTTCCAACCCCATAGCATTCCGTGAATCTGTGAAAGTGAGCAGTAACGCATTCCCAGGAGCAGATGATATTTGTGCAAAATTTTAGACATGCTCAATGATAAAGTAGGTAGTTTTTGAATTGTGATGTATAATTTCTCTTATGAAACATGATCCTAGGAAATTGGAAGGAGCTAACCTGATGCCAGCTTCTAGAGTTTCAGGAGGGACCTCGCTGACCAAGAAACCTGCCTCCTTTACTGGCCAAATTGGCAAGAACTGTATTGGAGACCCAAGAGATGAACACATTGGGAATGAATCAACAGATTTTTCTGTAAACAGAAGTAATTCTTCATAAACTCATTAGTTCCTTGAAGCATTCAACAACCCTGAGGACATGGGAAATCCAGCTGTTATAGTTTACTTCAAGTTTAGAAGAGATTTCACCACATGCCTTCCCAAGGAGGTGATATAATCTGAGGGGATAAGCAGGATCCTCACATGGATAAACATTTAAAAGATAGAACAAAGAATTACAGCGAAAAAGATCATTAATGCTTAGTTTATGCAGTACCATGTATTTCCAAATGATGTGGGAAAAGGAGAACCGTTGATTGATCACATTTGGTGATGGTACTAAGGGGACTGAAGACAGAAGACTGACTGAAGGGTTGCAGAAGGACCCCATGCTACTGAGTGACAGGGCAAAAAACCAGCAGATAAAGTTCAATAGTGATGGATGTAAAACAATGCATGAGGGGAAAATCCACTCCTAAGAGCATTTACAGTGGTGGGCTCTGAGCTTATTATTACCATTCACAAACGATGTTTTCGTATCAGGCCAAAGAAAATGCTAAGCAGCACTCAAGAAAAAAGAGTATATTGAAGGCTCAGAATTATTTAAGAAAGACACAAAAGGGAGCTCATTATTCTGCTGTATGCACCTGTGCTGTTCCAGCATCTCAAGTAGTATTTGAAGTGGTACTGTGCCCATTTCATAAAGGCTGAGGTGAAATTAGAAAATAAGCAAAGACAATAACAAGGATAATTGAAAGTATAGGCCAGCTTTTATATATGGAATGATTTGGCTGGAAAAGAGGTGGCTGAAGACAGAATATGACATAGCTATTTTAAGAAAGACACAAAAGGGAGCTCATTATTCTGCTGTATGCACCTGTGCTGTTCCAGCATCTCAAGTAGTATTTGAAGTGGTACTGTGCCCATTTCATAAAGGCTGAGGTGAAATTAGAAAATAAGCAAAGACAATAAAAAGGATAATTGAAAGCACAGGCCAGCTTTTATATATGGAATAATTTGGCTGGCAAAGTGGTGGCTGAAGACAGAATATGACATAGCTATGAAACTACAGTGGGAAGGATCTTATGGAAGGTAGGATTTCATGAGAGTTGAAAGAGTGACTGGGATGAATAGTAGAAGGAAAAAAAGTCTACTGAAGGTTATTAAATATAAAGACATAACCCTTGGGAGTCCACCTCCCACCAGACCAGGTTGCTCAACGCCCCATCCAGCCTGGAGTTGAACACTTCCAGGGAAGTCCTGGCTCTGGCCACTCCTCTTCTTAGTAATTACTGGGTTTGGAATTACAATAGAGACAAAAATAACAATTTTTGGGAAGATTGTTAACTACCTTCAAGCAATAAATAACTTTTTGGGCAGTTGGACTGCTCAAATAACACTTTCCATTAAGAGTTTTCTAAGTTCAGTTGGTCTCCTTGGGGGGTTAAATACTTCAGTTACATAGATGTGAAAAGTCAGTTGTCCTGGTTTTAGGACCCTTTATCAGTAAGAAGCAAATACTATTTCTCTGGGTGATGCAGAGCTAATATTGCTAAACCCTGAGTCACCATTAGAACTGCCTACTGATTTCCAATAAACCACAATTAGGCAAACCCGACACAGAGATAGGAATTTCAGGAATATCCTCAAATATGTAATTTGAGCTTGGGAGACTTGGCTGATGGCTACAACAGTGTATGAAAACAGACCTTAATATAACTGTTAGAATACAAGGGTGACTTCCCAGGGCTGGTACCAAAACCAACCAAAACCACACCACGGGCACTTTCTGCTGAGCTTGACTACACTCAACTCACATACAGAACATCTGATAAAATGCACAGATGATTTGTTATGATTCTGTCCTTCATTTCTTGATAGGAAGAACCTGTTCACCTGGAAGGCAGCGCAGTGGCTGCACACATTAAGTGGCTTAAGCAAGAATATATGAAAACTCAGAGGAACTGGGAAGAAGTGGATAACAGAATGAACGTGACCGCAGAAGTACGGAGGAAGATGATCAGCCAGAAGGCACCTTTAAAAGAGATTCTTAGACTATTTCCTTTCTTAAGATGCCCTTATCAGGTACCAGAGCTATTTTTAATAGTGACACCGAATCCTACGTTATCGATGTGATACAACCGTAGGCGTGTATTTTAGTGGATGTTTCTGGTGAAGCAGCCATCAACATTGTTCTCTTTAATTCAACTCCTATTTTGGCTGCTAACCCCACGTTAAAAGATTCACCAGCCCTGTGTTAAACATGCCACGCACAACAGCAGCGAGTTTTCTGATGTATTTCAGTGTGACTTGATGTATTTCTTCCCTACTTTGAAAAAAACCAAAACCACCCCCTCCAGTTTATAATCTTATTTTCCTGAGCTGGTCTTATCCTGTCTTCAAAGCGCGCACCCCGTGTGCTGTTTTCAGTTTCGGGTTTGAGGATTGCAATCACGCACATTTTTTCTTTTTCTTTCAGCTTTTTAGGGAGTTCCAGCTTCTCACACACACGGACATTTATAAGAAAACAGTTGAGATTTTGGAGATTTATTCCAAAAACATATTATCTTTGTGCGCAGTGAGGAATAATCCAATTAACATCCTGCTGCAGGAAAATCTGAAGCGACACACAGAGGAAGACGTTCTGAAATGTCAGTACAAATCTTCTACGCTCAGAGTTTTGCTGTAGCTCATTGTTCTTACGTATGTAACCACACTAGCTCTAGTTTTACTGCAAAAACATTCTAAAATGTCACAGTTGCTTGAAAAGTATACAGTGATGGGGAAGCATGAAGAATGAAAGCTCATAAGCTACTGGGGAATTCAGTCAGGTATTGAAACTTTTTCTATGGAATAAAAAAATGCAGGTTTGATAAAGTTAGTCTTAAGATGAGCAGAATTATGTATTCCTAGATATGTAAAAGAGGGCTTGTTATTTTCTATAAATACGTGCAGAGAATGTATTTTCTGGTTTAGAAAGAGAAATAGTTCCATAAAAAGAGACAGTTTCCTTCAGAAAGAGCGGTGCTGTTCCATCCCAGTGAAGCAATGGAAGAACCAGTTACCATTGCCTGTGTCCATGAGAGTTGAAAGAGTGACTGGGATGAATAGTAGAAGGAAAAAAAGTCTACTGAAGGTTATTAAATATAAAGACATAACCCTTGGGAGTCCACCTCCCACCAGACCAGGTTGCTCAACGCCCCATCCAGCCTGGAGTTGAACACTTCCAGGGAAGTCCTGGCTCTGGCCACTCCTCTTCTTAGTAATTACTGGGTTTGGAATTACAATAGGGACAAAAATAACAATTTTTGGGAAGATTGTTAACTACCTTCAAGCAATAAATAACTTTTTGGGCAGTTGGACTGCTCAAATAACACTTTCCATTAAGAGTTTTCTAAGTTCAGTTGGTCTCCTTGGGGGGTTAAATACTTCAGTTACATAGATGTGAAAAGTCAGTTGTCCTGGTTTTAGGACCCTTTATCAGTAAGAAGCAAATACTATTTCTCTGGGTGATGCAGAGCTAATATTGCTAAACCCTGAGTCACCATTAGAACTGCCTACTGATTTCCAATAAACCACAATTAGGCAAACCCGACACAGAGATAGGAATTTCAGGAATATCCTCAAATATGTAATTTGAGCTTGGGAGACTTGGCTGATGGCTACAACAGTGTATGAAAACAGACCTTAATATAACTGTTAGAATACAAGGGTGACTTCCCAGGGCTGGTACCAAAACCAACCAAAACCACACCACAGACACTTTCTGCTGAGCTTGACAACACCCAACTCACACAAACGACATCTGATAAAATGCACAGATGATTTGTTATGATTCTGTCCTTCATTTCTCGATAGGAAGAACCTGCTCACCTGGAAGGCAGCGCAATGGCTGCACACATTAAGTGGCTTAAGCAAGAATATATGAAAACTCAGAGGAACTGGGAAGAAGTGGATAACAGAATGACCGTGACCGCAGAAGTACGGAGGAAGATGATCAGCCAGAAGGCACCTTTAAAAGAGATTCTTAGACTATTTCCTTTCTTAAGATGCCCTTATCAGGTACCAGAGCTATTTTTAATAGTGACACTGAATCCTACATTATAGATGTGATACAACCGTAGGCGTGTATTTTAGTGGATGTTTCTGGTGAAGCAGCCATCAACATTGTTCTCTTTAATTCAACTCCTATTTTGGCTGCTCACCCCACGTTAAAAGATTCACCAGCCCTGTGTTAAACATGCCACGCACAACAGCAGCGAGTTTTCTGATGTATTTCAGTGTGATTTGATGTATTTCTTCCCTACTTTGAAAAAAACCAAAACCACCCCCTCCAGTTTATAATCTTATTTTCCTGAGCTGGTCTTATCCTGTCTTCAAAGCGCGCACCCCGTGTGCTGTTTTCAGTTTCGGGTTTGAGGATTGCAATCACGCACATTTTTTCTTTTTCTTTCAGCTTTTTAGGGAGTTCCAGCTTCTCACACACACGGACATTTATAAGAAAACAGTTGAGATTTTGGAGATTTATTCCGAAAACATATTATCTTTGTGCGCAGTGAGGAATAATCCAATTAACATCCTGCTGCAGGAAAATCTGAAGCGACACACAGAGGAAGACGTTCTGAAATGTCAGTACAAATCTTCTACGCTCAGAGTTTTGCTGTAGCTCATTGTTCTTACGTATGTAACCACACTAGCTCTAGTTTTACTGCAAAAACATTCTAAAATGTCACAGTTGCTTGAAAAGTATACAGTGATGGGGAAGCATGAAGAATGAAAGCTCATAAGCTACTGGGGAATTCAGTCAGGTATTGAAACTTTTTCTATGGAATAAAAAAATGCAGGTTTGATAAAGTTAGTCTTAAGATGAGCAGAATTATGTATTCCTAGATATGTAAAAGAGGGCTTGTTATTTTCTATAAATACGTGCAGAGAATGTATTTTCTGGTTTAGAAAGAGAAATAGTTCCATAAAAAGAGACAGTTTCCTTCAGAAAGAGCGGTGCTGTTCCATCCCAGTGAAGAAGCAATGGAAGAACCAGTTACTGCTGCCTGTGTCCACGTACCTTACCTCTGCAGAGACTCCTGGCAGGAGTAAGTGCCCAAATGGGTCCCTCTGGCAAGCGGGTGACACAGTCACACAACAGGATCCGGGTGCCTCCATGTGGTTTGGCTCAGCTTCTTTCAGCCCAAAAAATCTGGAGAGCCGTTCTGTGGGGACAAAACGTTGCAGGGGTTACTCCTCAAGTTGAACACTTCCAGGGAAGTCCTGGCTCTGGCCACTCCTCTTCTTAGTAATTACTGGGTTTGGAATTACAATAGAGACAAAAATAACAATTTTTGGGAAGATTGTTAACTACCTTCAAGCAATAAATAACTTTTTGGGCAGTTGGACTGCTCAAATAACACTTTCCATTAAGAGTTTTCTAAGTTCAGTTGGTCTCCTTGGGGGGGTAAATACTTGAGTTGCATAGATGTGAGAAGTTAGTTGTCCTGGTTTTAGGACCCTTTATCAGTAAGAAGCAAATACTATTTCTCTTGGTGATGCAGAGCTAATATTGCTGAACCCTGAGTCACCATTAGAACTGCCTACTGATTTCCAATAAACCACAATTAGGCAAACCCGACACAGAGATAGGAATTTCAGGAATATCCTCAAGAGGCAAACCAGACAAAACAGAGATAGGAATTTCAGGAATATCCTCAAATATGTAATTTGAGCTTGGGAGACTTGGCTGATGGCTACAACAGTGTATGAAAACAGACCTTAATATAACTGTTAGAATACAAGGGTGACTTCCCAGGGCTGGTACCAAAACCAACCAAAACCACACCACGGGCACTTTCTGCTGAGCTTGACTACACTCAACTCACATACAGAACATCTGATAAAATGCACAGATGATTTGTTATGATTCTGTCCTTCATTTCTCGATAGGAAGAACCTGCTCACCTGGAAGGCAGCGCAATGGCTGCACACATTAAGTGGCTTAAGCAAGAATATATGAAAACTCAGAGGAACTGGGAAGAAGTGGATAACAGAATGACCGTGACCGCAGAAGTACGGAGGAAGATGATCAGCCAGAAGGCACCTTTAAAAGAGATTCTTAGACTATTTCCTTTCTTAAGATGCCCTTATCAGGTACCAGAGCTATTTTTAATAGTGACACTGAATCCTACATTATAGATGTGATACAACCGTAGGCGTGTATTTTAGTGGATGTTTCTGGTGAAGCAGCCATCAACATTGTTCTCTTTAATTCAACTCCTATTTTGGCTGCTCACCCCACGTTAAAAGATTCACCAGCCCTGTGTTAAACATGCCACGCACAACAGCAGCGAGTTTTCTGATGTATTTCAGTGTGATTTGATGTATTTCTTCCCTACTTTGAAAAAAACCAAAACCACCCCCTCCAGTTTATAATCTTATTTTCCTGAGCTGGTCTTATCCTGTCTTCAAAGCGCGCACCCCGTGTGCTGTTTTCAGTTTCGGGTTTGAGGATTGCAATCACGCACATTTTTTCTTTTTCTTTCAGCTTTTTAGGGAGTTCCAGCTTCTCACACACACGGACATTTATAAGAAAACAGTTGAGATTTTGGAGATTTATTCCGAAAACATATTATCTTTGTGCGCAGTGAGGAATAATCCAATTAACATCCTGCTGCAGGAAAATCTGAAGCGACACACAGAGGAAGACGTTCTGAAATGTCAGTACAAATCTTCTACTCTCAGAGTTTTGCTGTAGCTCATTGTTCTTACGTATGTAACCACACTAGCTCTAGTTTTACTGCAAAAACATTCTAAAATGTCACAGTTGCTTGAAAAGTATACAGTGATGGGGAAGCATGAAGAATGAAAGCTCATAAGCTACTGGGGAATTCAGTCAGGTATTGAAACTTTTTCTATGGAATAAAAAAATGCAGGTTTGATAAAGTTAGTCTTAAGATGAGCAGAATTATGTATTCCTAGATATGTAAAAGAGGGCTTGTTATTTTCTATAAATACGTGCAGAGAATGTATTTTCTGGTTTAGAAAGAGAAATAGTTCCATAAAAAGAGACAGTTTCCTTCAGAAAGAGCGGTGCTGTTCCATCCCAGTGAAGCAATGGAAGAACCAGTTACCATTGCCTGTGTCCACGTACCTCACCTCTGCAGAGACTCCTGGCAGGAGTAAATTCCCAAATGTGTCCCTCTGGTGAGTGGGTGACACAGTCACACAACGGGATCTGGGTGCCTCCATGTGGTTTGGCTCAGCTTCTTTCAGCCCAAAAAATCTGGAGAGCCGTTCTGTGGGGACAAAATGTTGCAGGGGTTACTCCTCATCTCTGTTCTTAGAATCATAGAATTGCCCAGGCCGGAAGGGACCTCCAAAGGCCATCTAGTCCCACCCCCCCGCAGTCAGCAGGGACACCCCCAACTAGACCAGGTTGCCCAGGGCCTCGTCGAGCCTCTCCTTGAATATCTCCAGGGATGGGACCTCAACCACCTCCCTGGGCAACCTGTTCCAGTGCTCCACCACCCTCACAGTGAAGAACCCTCTCCTCATCTCCAGTCTAAATCTGTTCCCCTCCAGCTTGAAGCCATTGCCCCTCGTCCTGTCACTGCAGGCCTTTCTAAACAGGCTCCAGACCTGCACACAATACTCCAGGTGAGGTCTCACCAGAGCAGAGTAAAGTGGCAGAATCCCCTCTCTGGACCTGCTGGCAACGCATCTTTTGATGCAGCCCAGGATGGGATTGTCCTTCTGAGCTGGAAGTGCCCACTGCCTGCTCATGTCCAGCTTCTCATCCACCAGCACCCCCAAGTCCCTTTCCTCAGGGCTGCTTTCCAATCCCTCACCCCCTAGTTTGTATTGGTGGTGAGGATTGTTCCGGCCCAGGTGCAGAACCTTGCATTTGCTCTTGTTGAACCTCATGAGGTTCACCTGGGCCCACCTCTCCAGCCTGTTCCCAACCTTCCCAAACCACAGCTGCTGGTGCCTACACCCAAGCTCAGCTCTGCCAGAGGGGCACCTCTGACACTCATTTTCTATCAAATAAGGAGAATGCCAGGATGTCAAATCACAGACAGAGTACGAACACGTGTGTTTCCTACAGCAGTTTCACTCCTTTTATGAGCAGGTTGTTTAAGTAAGCAAGCAGAGTAGGTTAAAATATCGGTGTTTTCTTCCTTTAAGCTTAAAACCACAAGTACTCAATAGCTCATGACAGACTAAAAAATGCCAACAAACAGCCAAAGCCAAAAAACCTTTATGGACTTTCTACTCCTACCTTTGGCCTTAGAAAGCTATGGAGGTTGTAAGGAATTTCCCCTTCTCTTACATAAGATGCACACAAAGATTTTAACTCATACCTCTGGAAATTCCCAAGGCCTTTCCTTTCCTGGTTTTTCTTACAAAGGACAGACTAAAAAATGTCAACAAACAGCCAAAGCCAGAAAGCCTTTATGGACTTACTTTCTACTCCTACCTTTGGCCTTAGAAAGCTATGGAGGTTGTAAGGAATTTCCCCTTCTCTTACATAAGATGCACACAAAGATTTTAACTCATACCTCTGGAAATTCCCAAGGCCTTTCCTTTCCTGGTTTTTCTTACAAACAACTTGACCTGGCACCTAACAAATAAATATCTGAGAAGACAGGTTCAGCAGAACACGCGACACCAGAAGCCTGACCTGCAGAAAAGATGCTGCAGTCATTAATAGCTGAACCTGTGGGGTGGCAGGTACCACATCCCAGGAGGTCCTGCAGCACCAGGTGGTACCACAGCCTTCAAGGTGGTGTCCTTTGGCCACCAGACTCCCCAGAGACATTTGATTTACTGGGGAGAGAGAGCTATGGAGGTTGTAAGGAATTTCCCCTTCTCTTACATAATACGCACACAAAGATTTTAACTCATACCTCTGGAAATTCCCAAGGCCTTTCCTTTCCTGGTTTTTCTTACAAACAACTTGACCTGGCACCTAACAAATAAATATCTGAGAAGACAGGTTCAGCAGAACACACAACACCAGAAGCCTGACCTGCAGAAAAGATGCTGCAGTCATTAATAGCTGAACCCGTGGGGTGGCGGGTACCACATCCCAGGAGGTCCTGCAGCACCAGGTGGTACCACAGCCTTCAAGGTGGTGTCCTTTGGCCACCAGACTCCCCAGAGACATTTGATTTACTGGGGAGAGAGGAGTTTTGGGGCAGGTGGGTTACTCTTACTCCACTAGAATCAACCCAAAGGCCTACTCACTTATTGCAAGAGAAATTTAATTGTAATACTGAGTAGCAAAATGTCATGAATGACTTGAATTCTCCTGCAGGTCCCCAGCTGAGGCACCTACACCTTCACTGTGGCACAAACCGCTCTTCAAAAAGGACCAAATATGAGTTGCTAGCTATTTCATTGGCTGCAATCTGCTCTTCCAGGACCTTACCGCAGTGCCGGGATGTTTTCATTTGTAATTTAGTCCAAATCCTTGCCTTTGACAGATCTGAAAATGACTGCTGCGTGTTTACTCCTGCCGGGTGTCTTTGGAGATGACTCCAGCCTGTTTGCTGTGGTGAACGAGAAGGTAGGAGACAGAGCCTTGGTCTCTCTTCCTCCTGGGAGCTGCCTGGGCACGACACCTGGTGGTTCCTGGAGAAGGATGCCATTAGCTTGCCTGTTGGGTAGAAGGCAAACATTCACAGAAATAGTAGCTGAACTCAAAGTGATGTGCTTTTAAGAAGGTAGAATGTACTTTTAAAATGTATTTCAGAAGGTAGAATCTCTCACTAGGTAAGACAGCACAAACCGCTCTTCAAAATGGACCAAATATGAGTTGTTAATTATTTCATCAGCTGCAATCTGCTCTTCCAGGACCTTACTGCAGTGCCGGGATGTTTTCATTTGTAATTTAGTCCAAATCCTTGCCTTTGACAGATCTGAAAATGACTGCTGCGTGTTTACTCCTGCCGGGTGTCTTTGGAGATGACTCCAGCCTGTTTGCTGTGGTGAACGAGAAGGTAGGAGACAGAGCCTTGGTCTCTCTTCCTCCTGGGAGCTGCCTGGGCACGACACCTGGTGGTTCCTGGAGAAGGATGCCATTAGCTTGCCTGTTGGGTAGAAGGCAAACATTCACAGAAATAGTAGCTGAACTCAAAGTGATGTGCTTTTAAGAAGGTAGAATGTACTTTTAAAATGTATTTCAGAAGGTAGAATCTCTCACTAGGTAAGAACAAAGAGCTGTAAAAAGGTCACAAGGCCCTGTGCAACCAGACGCTCGCTATGAACAATAAATGCCATAAATGCCTTGCTAATGAATATACCCTTGAAGAAGAACAGCAGCTTGACAATGAGGAACATCCCACCAGCTGAAAACCAGGCAACTGCTGGAAAAGGCATAAAGTCAACAAAAAATTGGAAGTAACTAGGGGAAAGGTAAAGGTGGCAATGGGAGATGGTGACCCCCAACTCAACTGGAGGCTGAACTGGACTAACCCCCCACACACTGCTGGAGCATGCACACATCAATTAAAGGACCTTGTAACTTTAAATGAAAGCGAGAGACTGTACTAACCGATTGTTAAGATAAGGTACTAACCCATAATTATAGTTCAGGATGTGTATTTCTGTGTTTTGATCCTTATAAAAGGGTTTTTAGGCCAGGGGGCTGGCTTTGTGGATCAGCACCCAGCACCCATCTCTGCAGGAATGAAATAAATCATAGAATCATAGAGTTGCCCAGGCCGGAAGGGACCTCCAAAGGTCATCTAGTCCGACCTCCCCGCAGTCAGCAGGGACACCCCCAACTAGACCAGGTTGCCCAGGGCCTCGTTGAGCCTCTCCTTGAATATCTCCAGGGAAGGGGCCTCAACCACCTCCCTGGGCAACCTGTTCCAGTGCTCCACCACCCTCACAGTGAAGAACCCTCTCCTCATCTCCAGTCTAAATCTGTTCCCCTCCAGCTTGAAGCCATTGCCCCTCGTCCTGTCACTGCAGGCCTTTCTAAACAGGTTCTCCCCAGCCTTCCTGTAGGCTCCCTTCAGGAAGGCTGGGGAGAACCTGTTGAGGGCCTCAACCACCTCCCTGGGCAACCTGTTCCAGTGCTCCACCACCCTCCCAGTGAAGAACCCCCTCCTAATCTCCAGTCTAAATCTGTTCCCCTCCAGCTTGAATTTAAATAGATATTCCCTCTATTCTGTGTGTATATTGGCTGAGTAAACGACCATGACTTTGGGACAACAAAAGCAGTGCCATTGCACGTGGTTACTTCTCCGATCTCTTCCCCAGAGCGATGCCGTGACATCATTTGAAATATCCTTTCTTTTTTTTTCCAAATTTAGGTGAAGGTGGCCACGCCAGTGCTGGAAGTGAGAAATCCCTTCGATGTGAACTCGTGCAAGTTCGTGCTGTACGTGGGGAGGGAGGAGCTGGCCCAGCTCGACGACTGCACCATGGCCCTGGCCGCGCTGCTGGCCGCCTTCCGCGTCTTCCACATCCCCTGCCCCAGGAGAATCCGCAGGACCCTCGGCTTCCTGGAGTCCCTGGTCCTGGAGGAGAGCAGCCCAGCATCCCTCCCACCTCTCGGGACCATTTAACATCTCCTCAAAATAAATCACTTTGCTGTGAAGATAAATCAGTGCCATTCTTTCTGGTGGAAGCGTATGTGTATTTATAACTCTGTTACATTTAATAATGCCCAATTTTATTTATTTTTTTTTTGTACTGGCTACTTTTTTTAAAATTTAAAACCTAAGCATTTTCATTATTTTAAATGGAAATTCTAGAGCAGTTTAGAGGCATTAGAGATAATAAAATTTTCTAGATTACTGCAAATGTCGCATATTATTTTTCCATGGAGCATCTGAAAAAAATCAGTCTTTTCACTGCCAGAATCTGAATAACACACTTGTGAGTTAAAGCGAGCACTTGGCTGCTTCAGAAGCTAATACATTTAATGTTTTAAAGGGGCACAAATTAAAGATTGACTTGTTACCATCATTTTGTGATGATGCCTGAAAGGCTACTGGAACAATTTTTGTATTTTATAAGGGTGGGCCTGATTTGTAATTCACAGGATGATGAGCTTTCACAATTTTCTCCATGCATGAAACATTCTTTTAATTTTCTTTGGGTTTTTTTTAACATTAATCCTGAACTTGTTAAATAGGGATTCTGAGATTTGCTCTCCAGTAGCAAGAATGACTTACCCAGGAGGCTGCCACGGGCGTTTGTCCCCACAGCTTTGGTGTCAGGGAGAGAGAATGGCTCATTTTCTTTCTGAATTTACTCCCTGGAACAAATCTTCCTTCTCCACGTGGTGAGTCTCCCCTCTGCCCATCTCCTCTCTTCCTCCACTGCCTTCTCTTCTCCCAAAGGGGCTCCTCTTAACTCCTGCCTGGCTGGAAATCCCTGGTGGCTTCGGATGAGCACCTAGTGATGGGGAGTAGGAGCAGCCAGCAAACATCACCCACCACATTAACTACAAATTAAAATGGCTTTTTATTAAAACACTGTGTTCTACTAAAGAGATGAGCCTCCCACCAGTTCTAACAACGCCTGTGTGGGCAAAGCAGCATTTGTGGTCACCACGGCTCTTCCAACACTCAAAACACACAGCTTTGAAGACCACAGAGGCTTTGCTGAGACCTGGCTGGGCAGGGGTGACTCCAAGGCAGAGATTTAAGGGGGAGATCCTGCAGCATGAGGAGAAATCGCTGCATTTAACAGCCTGACTCTCTCCCTAGAGCCTTGGGGTGTTTCATGTGGCTCCCCCAGCAATCAGGGGACAACCTTTACTGGTTACTACTCCAGCACAAGATACAAAACGATACCGACTTCAAAGATTTTAAAGATTCAGTGTGACCCCTGAGCGTTCTCAGTTTCTGAGTTAATTTCCTGGGTGTAGTTTTTGTAGCAGAGGTGGCTACACCTCTGGGACCTCCTCCCCTGGGATACAAAAGTAAGGATTATGCATGTCCTTGCTGTTGAGGGAGCTGTACAAATAAAAAGCTCTGTATCATTTAAGTGAGATTAATTCTACATCTTGCAAACGGTACTAATTTAAGCCCTTTTTCTTAAATCACACAGCACTTTGTAAATAGGTGGATAAAAATTCAGGGAGCTGCTCACATCCTCACGGCATCTCTGCCGAGCAGCAGATCTCTTCACGGGTTCCCAGTGTAGGCTACAAACCTGGCACATCAGAGAGATAGAGGGAAAATCAAACTACATGGAAGGACAGAAGGAAAGGAAACAGAAGAATATGGCATTTTACTGACCTGCCTGGGCAACTTCAGCTGCTGCCAGTGACAAAACCTGGCAAAAAACGGGATTTTGATTGTGACAGGCTTAGAAGTAAGTGTTTAGGGAGAGGGCAGGTGGCAGAAGCCAAGTTGCTGTTTTAAACTCACAGCCACAGGGAGCTCTGGTGAGGAATTACCCCACACCACCCCCAGGAACAGCCGGGTTGATCCCAGAATCCTGGGCACACACAAAGGGAACAGACGGCTCCAGCTCAGGTTTTATTTGTATCGTCGTACAAGAAGAGTGCAATTTGAATGTACAAATATCGAACAAAAATGTAAAAAATATCATTTACGCAATGCTATGGAAGGAAATTAACAGCTCAAATGCAACTTAACTTCACACCGACCCTGTTTCACCTCGTGTCACTGCAGTCACCTAAGGGATGGGACACGGAGAGCACTTCAAACCTGAAGGAGCTCCAGCCACGGAACAACCCAGAATTTTTACATGGGAAGATGTAAAAATTCCCCCAGCTCTGTGCAACGGGAATGCTCTGTTTGTTCTCAGCTCTCAACTGCCCACCACGGCGCTGAGAAGAAAAGAAGGGCTGCCAAGAACCTCCAGCCAACTCTTCCCTCTCTTCTTGCAAAAAGCAACGTTCTCCACCAGTCCCCAGCACACAGGCAGCCAGGCTTCCTCCCATTTAAAGTGCATCTGGTTTACACCTTCCGTATATCTACCAAGTGCAACGACTTTCCCTGACAAATGGTTAGAAAAATCCTCCAAGGGAGAAGGCTGCCTCACCCAAGTACCTGCTGGTGGCATCTCCAGCCTGCTAATGACCTTAGGTATCCTTTTCCTCTGTGCTGTCTTCCCCCCTATGCCTTATTCATTTATAAATCACACTTTCCAACTGGAAGTGGTGGGTGAAATAGTTCTCCCACCATGGGGAAAACAAACCTAGGTGGAATAAGAAGCCAGAGCAGCAGTCCC